ACCAAGCTGGCCTGAAAGTTGAGCAGGTAGCTGAGGGCCAGTCCAAGTGACCTGTAAGTGTTTCCCAGAGCAGACATCCCACCACTTGCCCAGGCAAGAGGCCCAGGGCCTCACTATCCCCACGGTGAACATTTTTCTTTCTCTCTAAACAGAAATTCCCTCTGCAATTTCTGCCTGTTGCCTCTTGCTACGTGCCTCCAAGAAGGGTCTGGCTCCACCTTCTCACCAGCCCCCCCACAGGAGGTGGATGACAGTAGCCAGAGCACCCCTTTGCTTCTTGCTCTCCAGATGGGACAAACCCACCTCCAAATAATGTAAAGCAATGTCCTCATAGCAATAATATACACCCAGCTGGTCTCAAGCACAGGCACTGTGTCCTAGAGCTATAACTTCTGAAGGATGGCTTTGAACGCTTATTTCCCCAGGTAATTAAAGAACATTTGTACGACCTTTTCATGGAGACAAATGGCCTCTTGTGCTCCAGCCCCGATCTGTGTGTACCCAGAAATGAAACCATGACTGAGCAGAGCAGACCCGTATGTAACAGCAGGGCCTTCAGGAGAAAAGCTTCTATCACATGTTCCCATACAGCCTCCAGGCCACCCCACAAACACACCTGCCTTCTTCACAAAGCCACGGGGCGCTGGGTCTGAGCACGGCCCCCACCGCTGCAGAAATCCTCGAGGAGGAGAGGGAACAGAGGCCAGCACCCACCCAGCTGCAGCTGCTGGCACTGAGCACATGGCCAAATCCAGCCTGAAAGGACACAGCTCCTCAGAGTGGGGACGAGGCGCCCTGCTAGATGGTGGAGGGCTGAGCGTGGTGGTGGCTGTGGGCAGGAGGGCAGGCAGGGAGCTGGGGCAGCCTGGTCCCCTGCCTGCCCCTGCTGTGTGCAGGAAGCCACCAGGCAGCTACTGGACTCCAAGGACCTGGGGATTTAATGAGCAGTTTCAGGAATGCTCTCAGCTTTGCTGTCACTGGCACTAATTACTAAAGGTCTCCAAAGCTGCTGTCTGTGTGAAACAAGGCCCTTCGTTACATCAGTGCTGCTGTGGGCAGCAGGGCAATACTGCTAGGGTGGAGGGGCTCTGCCTGTTATTGCTACCTTTTTTTTCACATGGAAAGAAAGGATAAGGCCTCCCTCTCACCGTCACATGAGAGGTGCTATCACTTGCCTTGCCAGGCACTGGGGTGTCCTGCCTCTGCCCTGGGAGGATGTAAGCCTCTCAGGTGTGGGGAGCAAAGGAATGGGGCAGAAATAGGCCTGCCCTGGATATGTGTGAGGACCTGCCTCCAGCCGGCAGGAAATCCACATGGAGACTGGTGAGATCAGTTTAGTAATGATCGCAGGAGAGGAGGGTAGAAGGAAAGGCAGGGATGGGGAGAGATGAATGCAAGATGGATGAGTGGCTGGGATCCAAGTGGCAAAAAATGAGAGCTGTGGAGTTAGGACAGGGCCGGGTATACAGCCCAGGACAGTTGGAGAGAAGCTTGGATAGTGCTGGCTGGTTTTGTAAGAGTTGCCATGGGGAATGGCCACCAAAAATCAGCCTTTCCCCCTGCCACTGCCTGCCCCCAGCAAAGGCACAGCAAATGTAGGCAGCTATACCCCCTGTCTGCCAAAGGGCCAGCTAGGTTCCCATCCCTTGTCCCTTTCCCTGCCTGTAAGAGGCAGGGAGAAGTGCTTAACTGCAACCAGAGAGGTGTGAAGCCCTCCTGTGCAAGAGCTGTTTTTTCTAAGTGAGACTCCTCACATCACAGCCCCCTCAAAGCTGCTGGATGGTCACAAACTCCTGACAGCCTGCAGGCAGGGTCTCGCTCCCCAGCTTGCATTCCTTGCTCTCAGGTACAGAAAGGTAAAATCTTTTCCATTGCTCTGGGCTCCTGGAAGGTTAAGCCCTGTTTAAGGAGAGCTCACAAACAAGGAATTGGACAAGCTGTGCTACCAATGCAGAGAGCTATGGCCACGTCTGGGCAGGAGTGGGGCCGAGCGCATCCTTGCTGCGGGGCTGCTGCCGGCTGCACTTCAGCAGGGAGGGATTTAGTCCTAAGAGTCTTAGTGACGCATCTTGGGAGACTTAGGCTGAGCCTGGCTTGCAGAGACGTGACCCGTGCTGCATTTCCCGTGGTCACCTGCCAGTCTGCATTATGTGAGCTGTCACCCGCTCACAGACACAACACGTGAGCGCAGTGGCACAGGGGCTTGGAAGACAAGGAGGGGGAAACCAGCCTAATTCCTTACTTGGCCCAGCCTTGCCCCTGCACCAAGGTTGCTGAAATACGTGGGGCTGCTCGCAAAGAACAAAACCCACTGCTTAAAGCTGGCAGGGAACTAGCAACCAGTTTGCTGTTGCTTTAACTGGAAGGAGTTGATGCTAAGGGTCCTCATGTCTCTGGGTCATCTACAGGAGAGCTCTTCCATTGCCTTGGTGGGTCAGCATTTAGGATGGGGAAGAGCCAGGACTGTGATTGCTGAATTCTAGCTCCTGTTTGACCTGTAAGAATTGCAGTATGATTCACTGCAAAAAAGCAGCAAAGACCAAAGCACAATTTAATGACATTGTTGTTTATGATAATCCTATCCACAGGTGTGTTTTTATAGCTGAAGAAAATGGGGAAAGGAAAGGTCTTACTTTTACTTGCAGAAAGGCAGTCCCAGGGCCAGGACCAGCCCCGGGAGAAAGGGGAAACATATTGGTTTTCACTGTGAGGACTGGCTAGCACAGAGACCACCCATCCTGAGAACTGACCTGACTTTGGTGATCACATTCAGCTGAGATGAAAGTTGAAACAAGGCCAACTGTAATCCCCAAGAAACCAGGCCACTCTCAGCACTCAGGACAATCAGGTCCCATTAAAAAGCATCTGCCAGACTGATGTCTTGAGGATTTCATTACCATGCTTAGCTAGAAGTCATTGGTGAGGACTCATCTCCTCTGGCCTGGGGAAGGAGCTTAAAAGCTGCAGGTCAGTTTCAGGTACAGCAGTGTCTGTTTTCAGAATTTCTTGTCTCCCAAAGGCAATGGGATGGTGCCTTTGGCAAGTAGCATACTCAGCTTCTTCCCTAAAAGACATGGAAACTTAGGAAGAGAAATGTGACAGTCTTGGAAGTGACAGGTGAAGCACTCGAAGTACTCCGTATGTGACAGGGCACAGCTAACAGGCAGCAAAGAGGACACCATGGAAATGCCTGCTGTTGTTTGCTTTTTTCCTCACCATCCATTTGTCTTTTGACTGTTCCAAAGTCTCCAAAGCCACAATTAGGAGCGAACTTGTTGCAAGAGTTCCCAGATTTAATTGAGCTCCCTTGAAATGAAATCATTTATAACAACCTTTTGCAAGGACAAAACACGATGTACTCTGCTCTGGTACAGGCAGGAATATGCTGTCCTGGGGGCTGGGGAGCCCTGCTGCAGCACACAGGGACAGCTGCCACCCAGAGACAAGCTCCCTGCTGGTCCAGCAGCTTGAACCCAATCCCACTGAAATCAGCAGGAATTTTAAGATCCCTGAAGCAGGAGTCATAGGATGCAGAACTGTCTGACTGTAGAATATATATTTAGTAGAGCAGAACAAGAGCAGGCTGTTGGAAGATGATTTTTTTTTGTTTGTTTTATTTCATGTATTTCACCTTCCAAAGGAAGTGAGATCCCTGTTCCAGTCCCTAACTGGAGTGCATCTAATGGGACCTTGATTTGCCTTTTTCAATCGATGAGGAACCACCATCTGCCCTTCCTCTTGGCAGGACAGACAAAAATGCTCACACTGCAATGGTGGAAGCACAGGAGGGCAGATCCAGACCTTGGCTCACGTTCTGGACCTCTTGCTCATCCCTGCTCCTGAGCAGCTAGATCTGGGTGGCAGCTGAGGACTTCTTCATGTATTTTTGGAAGAGAAGTCTCCTAGCTGTCTAGAAATGATACACTTGCCTTTCTGTCTGTCTCGGGCAAGAGCACATGATGCCAAAGTCACGAGCTGACCCTGGGTGACACTTGGGCATCTCTGGCTAGTATAGGAATAGAGCACTGGGTCATGGCAGGACCAATCATTTACTCACTAAAAAAAGGTTGGTTTGGACTAAAGGGGAATGTTTGCAAATGTCACCCCAAGTCAGCAGACAGTCACACCAGTGCTTCAGACATTAGGGTTAAATCCAAGTACAAAGAAGCCCTGGCTGGCTTCAGACTTCTTTCAGGGAAGTTCTTTAATTTTGCTAAGCAAACCAAACTACCAGAAACATTCACTTCTGAGCAATCTAAAATGAACCCACTTGACCTTTTTTCTGATTTGATTAATAGGATGAAGAATTCCGTATTTGCACAGTTTTAATAGCAAGCCATCAAGGAGAAGCCATGAACTCTGGGTGAGCCGTGTCGGGAGCCTCCTGGAGAAGGGAAAACTGTCCCAGCCTGACCTACAGCAGCTGCAGCACCATGAGCTCAGTGGAGCTCCTCAAGACTCACTGAAGTGCCATCTCCCAGGTCCTGAATGTTGCAGTTGGACGACACCCCTCGTGGCTTAGGGGTGCTGTCAAGAATGGCTGCATTATCAAAAAAGTCCTCGTTGCAGCAGGTTTTACAAGAAAAAGCAGAATCAGCATGGGGCACTTGTAGTGGGCATAAAAAGAAGAAAGACTTGCAGCATTCTTTTACTAATAAAGTTATTTTACAATATTGAAATGTATCTAAAATAAAAAAGGTTACTCTAGATCTGGCCCAAGCCAAGATGACAATAAAACAGGAACCCATCTGCCTTGTTTTATGGCCTCCTGCCCTCCACACCCAGCAAACAAAGCCCAACACCAGAGGACCAGCCTTGTGTCCAAAGAAGGACTTGAAAGAGCAAATTTGGCAGAAGCTGTGTTGCAGAGTAACTTTGAAGAGAAGCAGCTCGTTTCTTTTGGGGACAGGAGGGAAGGGACGTTACTAAGTAAAAACTGCCATAGCTTTTATCCACGTGTGTCTAAACCCAAAGCTGGCTTTACCCGAGGGCCAGAGGCTTCAGGTACTACATGACACGAGCAGACGCTGCCGATGGCTGCTGCTCTGCTCTGGTACACACTTGTTTGCTGCTTTGGCCGGACAAAGGAGCCCGGCGGGGTTTCTGCGGGGCGGCGCTCGGGCAGCGGCGCGGAGCGTGCCGCGGTGTGCGCGGACAGCAGAGGGGAGTGTCGGGCCGCTTTTCCTGCATCCGCGCCGGGCGGAGCCCCCGAGCGCGGAGCCCCGCAGCGCGGAGCCCCCGGGCGCGGAGCCCCCGAGCGCGGAGCCCCGCAGCGCGGAGCCCCGCAGCGCGGGGCCCCCGAGCGCGGGGCCCCCGAGCGCGGAGCCCCGCAGCGCGGAGCCCCCGGGCGCGGAGCCCCGCAGCGCGGCCGCGCTCGGAGCGCACCGGCTCCCCTCGTGCGCCCGAGCGGTGAAACGAGCTATGGGGGGTCTGCAAGGCCCCCTCCTCTTCTCCAGGTTCGGGTGGGAGAGAGGGTCTTGTCCCGACAGCTTCTGTTGATGCCTCAGGTTTTAGCTTTTATATTTTTCAGATTCTGTTCTGCTTTAGCGTGTAAGTCTAGGCTTTCATATTAGGGAATGGTAAGCTCTCTTCACATAGTAGGGAGACAAAACAATTCCTTCTCTAGCTGGGGACCAAAGACAGCCGATCCAGATCTCAGACCGAAAAGCATAAACAAGGGTGGACCAAAGAGAGAAAACAAGAAGAATGGGACTTCATGGGCTAAGCTGTAATTCGACAATTAGCTCTAATATGCTAATGGATCAGAATTTATAAAAGTTCTGGTCCATTAGTGTGGCAAGCACATTTCTCTCCCTCTCAGGATTTTTCATAGAGGTGTACAGAGAGAAATGAAAGAGAAAACCATTTCTATTTCTGCTCCTTGTTTTTCCAACGTGGAATGTGCTTGGAAAATTGTTTACCTGGAGTGAATGCTTGATTGAATTCTGGTAAGGATTGTTTGAGCCTGATGGCAAATCCAATCCACCTGTGTCTAGACTCTCGAGAGAGGGTCACAAGTTGTGTTAGAGAGAGTCAGAGAAAGTAGTATGTAGCTTTAGTATTTTCCTTTTATATAGCATATTAATGTATTTTAGCATAGTTATAATAAAGAAATAATTCAGCCTTCTGAATTGAGCCAGACATCATCATTTCTTCCCATTGGGTTTGCCTGCCTTTGCATATTGGAGCTAATTGTCTCACACTTAAAAAAGTGTGAGGCCCCGTGACTAGTCAGGCATTTTGTGGCCATTTTGGGTTGGATCCAAGGGGGATCTATTGAGTCCTCTTAATAAATCCCTACTTTATTCTTTAGTTCCATCTAGTCTCTGTTCTAGGTCAGCCTTCACAAGGTGTCACTGCAGCCCCTCGGCTGCTCCGCTCTGCGTCAGAGCAAAGCTCCTCTGTGGGCAGGGCTCAGGAGCACAGCTCACACCTGGAAATAGTGAGCAGGGTGAGGGGAGTAAATTCCTTCCCACCAGAGAACTGGAAGTGCTCAGTTCTGTGAGGCCTTGGATTGTGGTCTCTGACAGTCATAGGTTCAAGGTAAATTCATAGAACTGGAGAATGGTGTGGGTTGGAGGGAACCTTAAAGGTCACTTAGTTCCAAACTCCTGTCAGGGTCAGGGGCACCTTCCACTAGACCAGGTTGCTGAAAGTCCCATCCAACCTGGCTTGAACACTTCCAGGGAAGGGGCATCCACAGCTTCTCTGGGCAACCTGTGCCAGTGTCTCACCACCCTCCAAGCAAAGAGCTCCTTCCTAATATCTAATCTCAATAGCTCCTCTTTTACTCTACAACCATTTCCCCTTGTCCTATCCCAATCTGTCCATTTAAAAAGTCATTCTCCCTTTTTTTAATAAGTCCCATTAAGTACTTGAGGGTGCTCTAGGGTCTCTTTGGAACCTTCTCTTCTCCAGGCTGAACAGCCCCAGCTCTCTCAGGCTGTCTTCATAGGAGAGGTGCTTCAGCCCTCTGAGCATCTTTCTGGCCTTCCACTGGACTGTCTCTAAGAGGTCTGTGTCTCTCTTCTGCTGGACCCCAGAGCTGGGCCCAGAACTCCAGATGGGGTCTCACAAAGGCAGAGTAGAGGGACAGGATCCCCTCCCTCAACATGACAGTGCTGCTTATGATGCATTCGTAAGAATCCCTAAATCTTAATCAGTGCAGCTCTCAAGGAGTTCTTCTCCCTATCTCTACTCATGTCTGGGATTGCCCACACCTAGGTGTTGCCGATGGTCTCAGTCTGAGCAGGTCCTGGAGCAGGACAAATGGACAAAGCCCCTCTCTCCTGCAGTGCTGTGCAACCTGCCCATTGCAGGCCAGTTGTGTAGCTGCTCCCCCTGACACAGTGTATTTCATGGTTAAAGAAGGCCTTGCAGGGGAAAAGTACACCTTTTATAAATTGGTTTAGCTCCTGGGGACAAAAGGTATTCTGTGAAGTTAAATATTAAAGCTACCCTGGATTATTCATTAAGCATCAATTATCATCATCACATTTACTGTCAGATGTTTCAACGCTGCTATTCTGCTCTAGAAAGGAACATATTTTTAGGTTGGTTTCCGAAGGAAGGATGTTCTTGGGGTCAGCTGTGCAGTGTGCTTGTCTGTCTGTCCTCACTGATTTGGTGAGGACATTCCAGACAAAATTTTTGACAGGCTGGAAGCCTCCACACACAGTGTTGCTGCAGATTAATTAGCCAGAGGGAAGGTGGGGAGCCCCCAGACCCAGTGAGTGGTGTGGGTGCAGGAAGAGCAAGCACCTGATGGCTGCGAGAGAAGCTCCAGGCAGGGCAGCTTTGGTGCCAGCACTGGGGTGCTCAGCCATGGGACACACCATGGGAGACTCAGCTTCCCTAACTCTGCTGCCCAATGAATAATTTACACAAGTACCTGCCAACTATGAATCGGCTCCTTATTCCACATCCTTTCTGCTACTTCTGCCTCCCCTTGTTTGTGCTTTTATGGCATTACAAAGTTGGAACACACTTTGGTTTAACAATAAAGGCAGCTTCATCTGCAAAACAGGATGTTCCAAAACAAGATCTAATTTTCCTCTGCAAGAACCTAAGGCAAAAGTAAACTGATATCCACTCTAAAGGCAAACACAAACAAGGACTTATTATTTATCATTAAAACATCTTAAAAAGGCTCTAGAGCCCTAAAAGCAAAAGTTTTGTGCTGTATAAAAGAGTTATGCTTCTGAGATGTGTCAGTTCAATAATTAAAACAGCATCTATGAAATATATATGTAAGATATTAATAAATTAAATTAAATTAAAGCCACTGAAAGCCAATTATCTTGTAAAAGATCTCTGATAGCTAAACTAATGAGATGTAGAAAGATTAATTTAGATCCCCATTTTGGGAGGTGATTATAAATTGCTATAATGCCACATCCAGTTACTAGGTTGTTATTGAAACCTGTGAAATACATTTGGAAAGGTTTTTAAATATTCAGGATGAAGTAGAAATTAGAAAGGAGTTAGAAATAATTAAAAATTAGCTGTCTTGTCATATTGCAGCTGTAATCCTATTACCTCTTCTAGTTTACAAAGCTTCAGATGTCTCTCAAAAACATTGATCTGTGGGGACGGTGGGGTTTATGAGCAGGGATTTGTTTGTTTTAATAACTGCTGAACTTCAGATATTTCTCTCATTTTGCTTATTTGAGGGATTGTTTCTGTGTAGGATTACCCTTGCTGCCAACACCGCCTGAGGGATTTCTTTGGCCATAAGGCAGGGCTGGCCATCAGCCATGGTCCCATTGAGTCCCCAGAGACCCACTGCTTTCCTTGCAGCTCCTGGTGAAAACGCTGAGGGGCATCAGTGGTGGTCTTTGAGGTCAGGGCAAAGCACAAGGCCTTTGTGCCTCTGTTTCTGTGGCTGTTGCAGCAAAGCACAGAGCTCTTGGGGAATGCAGTAGGATGATGGTGGTGCAGTGCATGCCCATGACCCACAAAATATACTACAGGTTGGCCAACCTTGTTTTGGTTGGGACTCGCCATGCAGGGAGCTCTTGGAGAGCTTTGTCTAAGGACTCAGGGACTCACCCATCAGTGCTCAGTTTTGCTTCCCCTGGTCCAAGGGATGCCAAAAGGTCTCCAGCAGCATGTCTTGACTGTGTTTTTGCAGGGCAGCAGGAGCATGGCAATCTCTCCCTGAGCCAGGAGGAAAATTGCAGGTAGGAGAGGGCAGTGGGGCCTTGAAAGCTCTGGCACAGGGTGATAGCGGCCGCCCCGTGCTGTGAGCTACTCCCCCAGGAACAGCTGCTGCATCACCGGGACACGGCCCAGGGCTGGCACACTGCACTCACGGGCAGCAGGGAGGGCGAGGAGCAGCTCTGCAAGGTGTGCACAGCTCTGCCTGGAGGAGCAGTGCCGACACCACCGGACCTGAGGGCAGAGGAGCAGGGCGAGGGGAGCCTTAGGGCAACCACACAGACAGCCCCAGGTGAACTCCAGCAGAAGAGGAGGAGACAGAATCCCACCACCAGCAGCACCCTGGAGAGGCAGACAGAGGGGTTCCATCATCAGCATTGTGCTCCTTGGAGGTGAAGGACTTGTGCCAGGACACCTGCAGTCATCCTCAGCAGCAGCAGAAGGGTGAGCATGAACTGGGGAAAGGCATAGCAGACAAGGGAGGGGGTGGGTTTGGTACTGATAAGGATTGTTTTTCCCTTTTATCTCCTTTTTCTCTAATAGTCTAGATAATATCACCCAGCACTGTAAGTGGATTCATTAACACTCTTTGATCAGGCTGCTGGAACTCTGAAATAGTCAAACAGCAGATTGATTCTCCTGTGTGAGGGGCGTTTCCCCAGCCCATGTAAAGGCATGAGCTGTGGTGCACAGAGCCAGCAGAGAAGGCAGCAGCCCTCGGGGGAGCCCTTATGGCATTTTTGTGAGTAGCCCTTCTGAGAGAGCCTTTTCTTGGGTACCATCCTGTGGCAGTCAGAGACAGCCAGCAACAAGGCTGCTCTGTGTTCACACAGCCCCAAGTGTCTTGCTGAAAGGATAGCACCCGGTTTTGGGGGCAACACGGACTAGTTGAAAATATTGAAGTGGGGAACCCAGCAGGTTTGAAAGACTTCCTTCTGCCTAGGGAAGAGAAATGTTCAAGGGATGCCTCTAACCATCCTTGGACAGAGGAATGAAAACTCTCTGCTTTGGCTGTGAGAAGAGATAAAGTAGAAGTCCCTGCTTAGGGGATTTCTTGGTTGAGAAAACCTTCTGGAGGGAAGAAGTACACTAGAAAAACGACAGAGTAGCAAGCCCAGATTTGGATGAGGCTCTGCCATCTTCAACCTACTCAAGCTGCGGTTTGTAAACAGACCTTTCTGTAAAGTCTAAAATACCTTTAGAGAAGACAAAAATATGTCAGAGCTGGCAAATTGGGTTTCTCAGTGGGGAACAAACCCCTGGGGTCCAAACTCTTGCAGAAGTATGCAGCAGGCTGACATAGAGTTTGCCAAATTAAAAGAGATGACCAAGTGTAAACTCTTCTCCCAAAAGTCCTTAAAATGTGCAGGAGCATGGGCTGTGTGGTTAGTTGCCAAAAGCTTAGGTGAAGAAAAACAGGCAGCCCAGGTAGAAATTCAGAACCTAAGGGAGGAAAACAAGAAACTGAAAGAAAAAATAAAGGCTCAGCAGCTTAAATTAGAGGAGGTTATAACTCAAGAAAGAGCTGTAGCCATGGAAAAAGTGCGAAGCGTTCTCCAGTATCAAGAGGTGTGTCAACAGAAAAAGGCCATTCTGAATGAAAATCAGGCATTGAAGGGAAAAGTAGCCATCAGTACAAAAGCTGTAGAGGAGGCACAAGGAACAATCCAATTATTAGTGCAAAAAATACAGACCCTAAAAGAGAGGGCCACAGACCATCGGGCCTGTGAGGTCAAGATAGAAAAGTTAAAAGCCTCACTGGAGGCAAAGCGCGGGGCTGTCACAAAAACACCCCATCAAAGGGATGATGAGCGCAGGGATGGAAAGGAATGGGTTAATCCGGATGGAAGCACCTCCACAGAGGCGTGTAAACCAGCGAGCCCACAGTCAGAAGTTTTTGAGAGGCCAGAAAGATTTAAAGCAAATCCTGTTTCATTTACCTGCGCTCCAGCGGCCGGGACGCGGGAGAGGGGAGCAGCGGAGCAGGGCAGGGAGGGAAACGGGCAGCCGCAGGCAGAACAGATTCTCCCGGAGGGAAGAAGAGCCGCTGGCCCAGCTCCTCGCCACCTCCAACCCAGGGGCACCCAGGCAAGGAGACAGCAGCCGGCAGGGAGTGCCTGGGCAAGGCAGGGCACAGGGGGATCCGGGAGAGGAGAGGGCAGCAGAGGAAGGGAAAACTCCAGGGATGTGCGGGACCCAGAGGTGCTGCAGAGCACCGCCTCTGCTGCTGTGAGACCCCAGAGCCCCTTCCGGGGAAAAGGGAGGAAAGGAAGGTGGCAGGGCAAGAGACAGTGGCAGTACAGTGCAGCCCCCCAGTTCGTGGTACAAAATACCGTGGCCAGGAGGGAGTTAAGCACGATACGAGTGGACATATGGAGGAAGCTTCGGAGGCAGGGGGAGGACATGGCCCGCTGGGATAACGCTCCCACCAGGGTTTTGTGGGATCGCCTGCTGGAGATCAGCGGCAGGAGAGAGGGAAGCGAGCCCGGGGCTCCTGCCCTCCCTGTCACAGCCTAGGGCACACAGTCCCCCTCTTCCCCGGGCTCGTGGTCGCAACAAAAGCGGACCGCTGGGGAAGGCTCCCACACTGGGAGCGCTGGGAGATGGGAACAGAGCCCTCGAGGTACCATCCTTGTCGCACGTAAAGCCGGGGCACCAGAACGTCTCTGTGCAAATTGAGAAGGCTCCTCTGGGGAGAGAAATGCATGAGTGAATTGTTAAGGGGTTTGGGGTTTGCTTGTTTTTACAGGAGAAACACAGAGGGAAAAGTTGACTTTTCCAGCAGGAACACGTCAGGGATGCAGTAAGGCAGAAGCTGCCTGAGCTCTGCACAGCCACCCCGGCACCCTCTTTGCTGCCCTGAGTCTGGGCAGGGGTATCAAATGCTGCTCAGGCCAAGTCAGCAGAAGCTATTTTGGGAAAAAGGAAAGCTTTTAGGACTGATAAAACACTGGAGCTGTGATACCAGCTGGGCTGCAGCGTCTGTGAGCAGTAGGACTGGGAATGAGCTCTAGGTATGAAGGGATGTGCAAGAAAGGTTACAGGAGTCCCAGGCATGGTATAAACCCTGAGGGTGAAGCAAGGAGGAAAGAATAGCATCTTCTTTATGGGTCTTCTGCAGGCAATCCAAAAGGGTTTGGACTTAAAAAAAAGAAAAAAAAAAAGTCCACCATTAAAAAAAATAATACCTGCCTGTTGTCAGAGGCAAAGCACAGAAATCAAGAGGTAAAAGCAGAGCAAATTCAAGAGGTACCAACAAAATGAAGCAGTTCAGGTTTAGCATTAGTATTGTTAAATAAGCATGTGGAAGTACCTGCAGCAAAGAAATTTAGCACTGGTATCAAAAGAAGGAAAAAAGGATTGAAACAGAGGAATGTGAACTAATTGCTACCAATGCTTAAAAAGTTACAAGCTGGAAAAATGTACCTATAAAGTTTTGAGGGGATGGTTATTAATGACAAAATATTCTAATTGACTTGGGACAGAATTCACTCTGAAAGCAAAAAATTAAATGTGTGATGCATGATTGGTGCATTAACACCAGTGTTTTTTCTTAGAGTGGAGAAAAAGAGAAGTAAAAAAAAAGTAAGTAAAAAACACTTATCATGGTAAAGTATACACATTATTGTAATAATTTAAAATCAAAATATAAAGTCCTTCTGTTACAGAGATATGATGGAACCAGCTGAAGCAATTATGATGGAAAATTGGTGAGCAACTGTTTAAAAACATAAGGTAATAAATTGTATATAAATATGTGAAGATGCAGTTTATTAGATCCTTAATATCATTGAAAGCTCTATGGATGTATATGTTTTCAACATTGTTTAACTGAGATAACTATTCATAACAATCTTTGCTGTTTTGTCTTCCATAGGTAGCACAGAAGAATAAGTACCAATTCCAAATTATAGATATTATGAATTGTATGATGCTTAGTGCTTGCTTTCTTGCTTTTATTTTGCTTTATAATCATACATGCATAAATGTGTGGAAAAATATAATTTCCTTTTTTTAGAACAGTTGCTATTACTGAAGCTCAAGTAAAAGAAAAGAATTGACAAACTGTGGTGACAAGGAAAACTTGATCAAATTTAAAGGGGTCACCATCTCCAAATAAGAGAAATCTGGTTTCCCTTGATGAGTATAGACATACTTCCTGTTATTTGTAATAGTGATCCTGACTGATAGACCACCTGTATATGTGAAACAGGAAACACATAGCTGAAAGACATAAGTATTTTTAAATACTATGAGATGCAAAGATGAACAAATAAAGTGTAGAAAATTTTAGTACGGTGAGTTGTATTTCAAAAATAGATACATTAGTGTAGCTTTGCACCATTTTTAGTTTAATTTAGAGCACCTATGGATAAATTGATGGTGCTGGGATAGGTAGAAAGCTGAAGGTCCCCAGTGATGGGGATATTAAATCACTGCATACATGGATGATACATGCAGTGTGCTGATGAAAAATTTTATATTGTTATGGAGGAGATGAGGAGGTGACTTTAGACACCGACAGCAGGAGGTTTCCTGAGATGAGAACTGCACAGTGGCCATGTCAAGCAGCCCAGCAAGTGGAGTGCTCCCAGCTGC